TGATGAATATCAAGAACTGTTAGACTCTGTTGTATGAAACAAAATTTAATCAAGCATAGGATATTTTATGGATTGCCAAAGATTCACAAAGAAAGAGATGAATGGCTTATAAATGGAAAAATACCTAAAGGTAGACCTGTTGTAAGCAACTTGAGAACTGAATCCTATGAAATATCAAGATTTCTATCACACTACTTGAAACCAATTAGTACATTACATGCTTCCTATATTGACAACTCTCAAAATTTTTTAAATCAACTAAGTAGAATTAACATTCCCTCTGATGCTCTTCTTATAACACTTGATGTTAAAAATATGTACACAAATATTGATACATATACTGGTCTGAAAGCTGTCAAATACTTTTTCAAAAGTACCCTTCAAACAATAGACCTGATGACTTTCTAATAGAACTTCTCCAGTATAATTTGCACAAGAATCATTTTAAATTTTTAAACAAAATATTTCTTCAAAAATTTGGATGTGCTATGGGTCAGAGTTATGCTCCAGCATATGCTAATTTATGGATGGCTTGGATTGAAGAAGTTTTTCTTTTTAATATAAAACCAAAGCCATTTTTCTATAAAAGATATTTAGATGATATCTTTCTGATTTGGACTGAAGGAGTTGAAAAATTTGTTAATTATCTTAGAAAAGCCAACAGTATTTTAAAGAATCTGAAATTCAAGGAAAAAATTAGCTCAACTTCATCAACTTTCTTGATTTGGTTCTCTTTAAAGGAACAAGATTTCTGTCTTCCAATCATTTGGATCATATAACATACTTCAAAAAATGTGAAACATTTCACCAGTTACATCGAAATTCTCTTCATCCAAAGCACACTTTTAAAGGATTGTTGAAAGCTCAATTTCAAAGACTTTTTAAAAATAGTTCCTCCAATGTTATTTTTATCTAACCTGTCAAACTGTTATCCATCCACTCTTACAGCAAGGCTATCACCTAAAAGAAATAAGAAAAGCAATAAAATCTGTACTGCCAGAGAGAATTAAAAGAAATATGTGAAAAAAACAATGACATACCTGTGAAGATGAAAATCTTTTTCAACATCTCAAGCAAAATATATCATCCTCTTAAATTACAATTCCTTTATAGAAATGGTTATATTAATTTTTTGGCTGAAAAACCCAGATTTACCTCCTTCAATGTAAAGAGTGTGGACAGTTAATGTTTTTTTCCATTTTCCAAAAGTACACAGATGTGAATATTTTTGAAACACTTGATTATTTACTGTCAAGACAGTACTTGAAAATTAAAAATGATGAACTAGTGGAGAATTTTATTGAACATGGTCATTTTAATGAAAATCAACAAAATATTACAATATTTCCATATGAACAAATACAAAAAGAAATGTCTCCAATTGAAGTCTGTAAACATGTTTATATATTAAATACAAAATATATCATGTTTCATCCTTTTGGTTTGGCAAAATTCACTTCTTGCCAAAATTCAACAAAATTACCATTCATTATACCTTTTGGAAACCAACTACAGCCATTGATTAAAAAAATTCATAAATGTTATTGTAAATTTAGAATAGAAAATCCCACTTTGAAAAACCTTCATTTGATATTTGCTTATACCAACAACACAAATATATATGTAAAACTAATAAATACTAATACAAGCTATCAACAGCAACAAATTGAATCCACTTCTTTTGCTTGCTCCAAGAACAATAGCTCACATGATACAAGTACTGAAACATCTTTATTAGAAAAAGCCAAATTGCCAACAATCAAGAACTTCTACAAGAGGACAACTTGTCAAAAAGAACCTTCTTGCATTCCAGATAAGAAGCCAAAATTGGATGAAACAATCACCAGAAAGTTTAAATCCAATGAGCACAATGAAGGGAGTTGTGGAAAAACAAGTGATCCACCTGTAATTAAAAGAACTGGAAGAAGAATTAAGAAGATAGCAAAAAATTAAACAAAAACTTAATATTAGTTTCTTGTAGAACATAGAATTTGTTAAAGTTACCTTATGGTAAATTGTAGAAATAGTTAAAACATTTTGTAAAAGTTGTAGGCAGTATGTGTAGAACTTCCACAAAGTATACATTTATCCCAATATATATATAGAACACATTTTTGAAAAAATACATTTCATTAACCAGTTTGCTTCATTTAAAATAGGTTTATACCAATGGCTTCAAGTAATCCAATTAATACAAATACTAAAGTGATCATTGAAAACTCAAAAAATGTGATTGCAAATAACATCAATGTTGATCATTTTCTTCCTTCTTCATTTCAAGACTTTTTCAACTTTCAATTGTATTACAATTGCATAAAAAAGTATATGAGAAATAAAGCCATCCAACCTCCACTATACAATGAGAAGGAACATGAAAAAGCTCTTCTTACCAAAATGTCACAATTCAAAGAATTTTGTAACAAGGAATTATGGCTAGTTGAACATAATGAACAGAAAAGATTTATTAACACAGAACATCTTGTTAACTTAATCTATGAGCATCTGAACAAAACAGACAACACTGTCAAACTTGAAAATTCTTTCAAATTAAACAGGAAAACAATTGACATCAGAGAAAATATTATACAGCAACTCCACAGAATTGGAATAAATTTGAGTGAAGATGAAGCTATAAATTCTTTTAAAATACAACAACCAGCAATCAACTTTCCAGATGTCTTGGATTTGCTAATCTTAAGTGATCATAGTTTGGGAGATGTTGATTTGAATAATGTTAGACTTGTTCAGAACAACATCAGATTTCAAGGAAATATAATCATTTTGAATATTAAAGAATTGTCATTTGCCAACTGTAAAGAAATACTTTTAAACTGGAAGTTAAAAGCAAAGGTAGTTTGTTTAAATGTTCCATTTCAAGAAGAACATGACACTGATAAACACTTCTACCTGATATCAGAAAATAACTCAATAACAAAACATATCATGTTGGTTCAAAAATATCAGCTTCAGAAATCTCCAATCAACAACACATTCCAACATATCCTTCAGAAAATGTTTACAAATATTATCAATGTTAACCAAATGATAAAAGGAGACCCATTCCATGCAAGAATACCTCCAACTAAATTATCACCTTTAAGGAATGCTGTTCAACAACTAATTATGAATGAAATTATCGTACAGGCTCAAACCATTCTCAACCAACAAAACATCCAAAGAACTGGAAGGAAAAGAAAAAGACTACAAGCCAATCAAAACAACAATCTTCAATCATAGGACTCTAATAATTTTAAAAAATCATAGAACAATCAAAGTAAGTAAAAACTCTCATAGTCTAACAATGCTAACAATACCAATACTCAGTTACCACTTAGAATTAAAATAAAAAATAATATTGAGCAAAACCTGTAAAAGTAAAAATAAATACAAAAAAAAATAAAATTGCTGGGAGTTGATACAATTCTAGAATTGATCTCTCCTCCCCTTGATTAGTATTCAAAACAATCAGAATGACCCTGATGAGTCTTTGCTAAAGGGGAAGATGAAACCATGGTAGGTCAGTTACTCAAAAAATATTTTTCAAAAAATTTTTTACATCATGAACCAGGATATTGTTTTCTCTGTCAAACCTGTGCAGGAGGTCCACACTCTTGCATTCCATTTGGAACTCCTGAAAATTGGTGGAAGCTACCAACTTTTACCAGGACTTAGATCATAGTGTCAAGTTCAACTTTTATTAAAACCCTAACCCTAACCTAACCCTAACCAGTTCCCAAAAACATTACCAGAGTTGTGTGAGTGGCCTAACCCATAACCCTTACCAAACCCTAACCCGGGATGGAGAAAAGATTAGACTCTGTTGTGAACCTTTGCTGAAAAGACACCAAATGAAACAATAATAATGGTTTGTTATCTTATCTCAATTTTTGTATCTCAAATGAGCATTGACACTTATGCATTTTCACAATGCAATCATTATCTAAAGCTATATTATCGGAAAGTTCCTCAACAAAAATTTGATTAAGTTCAGTGAGGAAAAGCAACAACGCTGGCCAATAAGAGTTGAGTAAAATTCTTGGAGCAAAATTATGACAAAATACTTAAAGTTACAGTTAGAAAATCGTAAAAAATCATACAAAGACTTACAGATTTTTGCTGTATTAATTGATTTTCACTTAAACAGACTTTTCTAAAATATAAATACTGTTAAAGTAAGAGTTTCTTGACTGAGAGACTGATATTGAAAATATCGTTATTCTTATCTTTCATCATCGTAATCAACATTTAACAAGTTGAATCTGAACAATCATAATTACGAATCCTATTTGAATATTTCTATTTTGGCAATGGTGTTCATAAGACCAATATGACCTTGAACAAGTGTACTTTTCCACGATGTATTATATTTAATCTCATTTATATAGCCCTTGTTAAAACTAGAAACTACAATGGAATTATTGAATATACTGTAACTATAACCGTGTCACATGACCCTATCACAAATGTACCAATTTATTAATAATATTTGTGCGAATCAACATAATTGTGAATATATTAAGATTGGAAATTTTATATGCATACATTAACAAGTTTATCCTTAGAAGTGATTTCAATCTCGCAAATATTACAATAATTTGATAAACAATTAACAATTATTTTGTTGAACTGTTGACCGAAACATTCAAATTTGCACAAGTTATCTTCCCCACTCTTAAGGTTACACAATACGGATTTATTGTTTGGATTATTTGTTACTGCAATATTCCAGCATTTATCGTTGTCCAATTTCGAGATTGCCACCTCGAAAGAATCATTAACAGCTTGTAAGATTGTATAGATAATTTGACCGTTTAGCGGAATCTTTATCACTTCCGGTGGACACTCTAAAATTCCATCTCCAAGTGACGTAATCTGATTTCGAGAGCAAATATTCTTAGTTGAAACATGAATCATAGCTGTTCGTTTGTTTGTTTGTTTATAGATTATTCAATTATTATCGCCATACTCACTTAAACATTGAGGTTTTAGAAGATTATTTGCTGGTGGTTGGTAAAATAACGCACTGACAGCTGCAACTGATGAAAGGAGGCCGCAATCAGCCCCATTTTGGTTGATTGATTGGCAATTGGTAGTTTTGAAGCATTCTTCCCTGCACTTTTCTACCGTTACACCTTGCAAATCAGAGAGAACGCAAGGATCGCAACTATTGACAATTTTATTTGCTGTATCAATCCAATTTTCGCAGTCTTTAAACAATCAAAAAGCTTGTTTATGGTTAGACAACAACAACAAGAACAATGATAGATGGTTAATACTTATACCTGGATTAGTTATTTTAGTATAGAATAGGCTGTTATCTTGAGTTAATAGACCACCTTGGTAGGAACCATATGTCTTTGTTGTACAATCTTTACTTGCCTTATTATAGTGAAAACTTGTGCAATGATCAGAGTTTCTACACAGTTCCATACATTGTGCTAAATCCGAATTTGTATTTACTGCTGCACCATACAAATTTTCCAAAGCAGTATTCGCACGTCCAACGAATTCATTACAAACTGCAATAAACAAACAAAAATATTTATATAATTATTTACAGTATATATACTGTATATAGAATTTTTACGTGATTTTTCAACATATATCCGATTCAAAGTCACCAGACTAGGCAATGCCAAGAAAAGATAGAAAGTCTGAAATAGTCTTATCATTTCTGTTTTATTTGAAACAACTGCACTGTATAGATTATTATTATTAGTATTATTATTAGTATTAATGTTATATTATACATTCTATTATATTGCCTTATGTAATATGCAAACTATCTACTGACCAGTTGAATGAAATGCACTGAATATCAGAATTCCATTGTTATTTCATAAATATAGGTTGAATGAAAAAAATTCAAAACAAAAAAACCCTTTTCTTTAACTGACTGCTTGCAGTACTCAAATGTTTGTCATTTAGTTAATGATTTATGTAATAGAAATGAATGGAAGCTTTTATCTTACGTGTCCTTAAAGTATGTCATTATATACGCTGATATCTCTACATCGATAATAAATCTTTTTACAGAACTCAATTCTCTCTTACAGTTAAAAAGTTATGGCACCATAAACTTTTCACTATTAAATATCATCTATGCAGTTCATACAAAACATTCGTCATACAAAAAATAACTCTGTTATTATAAGATGTAGAACTTTCAAACTTGGTATAAAAATTATAATTGGTACACTGATCACAAATCTTTTTACAGAATTCAATTATCTCTTATAGTTCAAGAGCTATGGCGTTGTAAAGTTTGGTTAATATTTTGGCATAAAAACTTATACAATAAATATTCGTCATGTAAAAACTAACTTTGTTATTAATAAATGTAGGAATTTGAAAATCAATATATAGCTCAATTTTGTTATGCCGATGTCAAATCTTTTTACAGAATTCAATTATCTTTTACCAGTCAAGAGTTATGGCACCGTAAAGTTTTGTCAGTATTTTGTCATTCAAGCCTATATAAGAAATATTCATCATGTAAAAACTAAGTTTGTTATTTGTAAACGTAGGAATTTGAAAATCGAGATATAGCTCAATATCGTTACACCGATGTCAAATCTTTTTACAGAATTCAATTATCTTTTGTGGTTCATGAGTTATGGAGCTGTAAAGTTTGGTCTATATTTTGGCTTCTAAGCCAATACAAAACATTCGTCATACAAAAATTAACTTTGTTATTAATTAAGATAGAGTTTGGAAATTTTGTATATAGACTAATTTACACCTGACAATCCTAAATCTTTTTACAGAATTTAATTATCTTTTATCATTTTTGAGATATTTGGCATTAAAGTTTTGTATAATTTTAAAGCCATAGAAAAACATTTTTTTTAGATTTTAATCTGTTACATCTTTTGAAGAGATATTTGTTTTTTATCACAATTCATATATGTTTTTTTTTCAATTTAAAAAAAACAAAATGTACATTTATTTTTTAATTTTTTAGCACAACATGTAAGTTCACTTTTTTATTGGCACATTGATATTTTCAAGTCACACAGGTATATTTGTTTCAAGTAAAACATTGTATAAACAAAAAAATTTTACAACACATATCACAGGACATTTTCTTTGAAGATATTTTTTGAGCATTGTGGTAGAGAGGGATAATCCTTGTAGATAGCCAAGTCCAAAGGGGTACAGATATCTTTTCAGTCCATCCAGCAGTCTTGCCTTTCAAATTCTAATATAGCTTCCATTTATGAAAAATAAAATTAAGTTAAATATTTTCTTTCATATTAACTTTTAACAATAATACTTGACCTTTTTTTCAGAGATTTTTTTTGCCAAAAGATACTTAGCATAACCAGTTTATTTATCAACCACAACTCCTCATTTTGAAAAAAAATATAATCTATTTAAAATATTACACAACCTACAATCCTAACAGTTCTTAATTTTAATTTTTTGCAACATAGAATAGTCTCCTCATACAAGATTAAAATCCCTGTTGCTGTATTTTAAGTTAAATACCTAGAGAAATAGTGCAATTAGAGTAATCATCTCAAAAAAAGATTAAGACCCCACTTGCAAGAACACTTTAAAATAATTCCTAAACTTACAAATATTTAAAATTATTTAAAAAACCTAGTTACTTTAACTCCTAAGTTAAAATTAAATTATAAAACCAAAATTTAAATTTAATCTAATACCAAAACCTAAAAACCAGAAAAATTTGCAATCAGAGTAGTTACCTCAGAATAAGATTACTACCCAGTTTGCACCCTACAACCTTACAATACAATTTTTGCTATAATACCTAAACCATAAACTTAAAATTAATTTGTTTTAATTAAAAAACCCTTTGATCAACATGGAATAGTTTTCCCATACAGGATCAAAATTCATGTTGTCATACCTAAACCTTAAATATATTTTTTAACAATTAAACCTTTTTAAAATTTATAAATCAGCCTAAATACAAAAGCCTAATATACCAGAAAAACATTGCAAAAAGAGTAGTCACCCCAAAAAAGGATTAAAACCCAGTTTGCTAACAACCTTATATAGCCTAATTTAAAAGAAATTGAAGAAATTTTTCATTAAAACTCAAAAATGTCAGAAAACCTTACACAGCCTAACCTAACCTAAAACCAAAAGAAATTGCATTGAGAGTAATCACCTCAAAAAAAGATTAGGACTCAACAAGGCAGGAAATCCTACGAACCCTATCCTAAGGAACTCTTAAAAAATTAGCATTAGGAGTGGTTACCTCAAAAAAAGATTACAACTCAAAATGCTAGAAATCCTACTTAAATCATTTGTTAAAATTGTATAATCTGATAAAATATCATGGAAAGGTTTTGTTTTTTTAAGGAAGTTCTGTTGAGTTTTTTGTGAAAAATCAGGATCATTGAAAGTATTGATTGTTCTTTGAATAATTAACATATTTTGAAATTTATATTTCCTTTCATTCTTTCTTTGCAACTCATTAAAAAAAAAATCCTGTCTACTTACAGCATCATCATTCTGGACATCCTCATCCAACTGCATCATTTCTCCAACTTCCAAATTCTCTCCAAGACCCATCTGATTGTAGATTTCCATATGCATTTCCTCAATATTTTCACAATTTGTAGATGGTAACTCAGATTCTAATCCAGTTGTTGGTGGTGCAGGTTCAATTCCAGTTGATTGTGGTGCAGATTCCAATCCAGTTGTTGGTTGTGCAGATTCAATTTCTGTTGTAAGTGGTTCCAATTCTGACTGCAGTGCTGATATAGCCATTTCTTGTTCTTGAAAATATTCTTCTCCTGATTCAAATAGTTGTGGTGTAACAGTTTCAATTCCAGATTGTTGTCTATGTTGAATAATCGTTGTTTCTTCTGAGAATCTTCTTGCAGTACTAGCAGTTGGCTGTGCAGGTACAATGATGTCTGTGTTTTCTGCTGGAGTTGTTGTTTCATTTTCCAATTCATTTTCAGTTGCAGATGATTGAGGGATAGGGTTGGTTGTTGTTGCTGTTGTTTCTTTAGTTGGAGTTGGAGCATGGCAGTCATTATAGAACTTAAGTAACTTTTTTTTCCAGTTGCTGAATACTTTATCACTTCTTTCTCCAATGATTTCCAAATTTTTTTTATTTATATTTAACACTTTCTTTTCATAAAAGTCTAAAATATTTTTAAAAGCATCTTCCTCTTTAACTGTTTTCATTAAATCTTTTAAGAATCTATAATTTTTTAAGTCTAGCTGTTTTTTATAAAATTTTCTTATATTTTTTTGATACAGATGTTAATTTTTGAATATATTTAAAAATAACTTTTAGCTCTTCTACATTGTCTGAAGGGTCAGCTAATGCCTCTTTAATACAACATGCTCCTAATAATTGATAGTTAAAGAATTGTTTACAGATAGCAGAATCAAAAGTTACATGAAATCTGCTATAGTAGGCATTGTAGTAACAATGAAATAGAAAACTAATTTGAACTTTTAAATTTTTTTCAGTAATATCAATTGATTGAGTAGGATCTTCAAAAATTGGAATACACCATCTATTAGTTTCCATTGTAATGCTGTGTAAAAAAAAATTATTAGAAAAATTTCAAAGTGTATTTGTACAACTTACAAAAAATTTTTCAAAGCCTTCTCTTTTCCACAAAAAAGTAAACCAAGTTTCCAAAGTCAAACCTGAGACTGATTTAATGAATATTAAAAACACCCAGTTATATTTATATACATCTTCTTGGTTAAGAGTTTTTTTCTGTAAACAATTTAATTAACCAAACAATTGAAAAGGTTTTTAGTGATCTTTCCCTTGATCACCTTTTTACATAATATGCAAGCACTCACTAAACAACTATTAACCATTGAATACTTTCACTCTTGTCTTGTCAAACAAAGTTAATTTAAACTTACAAAGTTCAACTCTCCTTCAAAGCTTGACTTTAGTTAATTCTATAAATTAATTATTTAAATATGCAGGGATGTGTTCTTTTCTTAATCTTTTTTTCTTACCAATCAAAAAAATTATAGCATAAAATAAATTTCTTTAAGCCTTTAAATGTATAGAAAAAAATTTTCTTCAAAAAATAAATAATGTTTTCAACATTTAACTTACAATTTATTTATTTCACGTAAGAAAAATACAACCAATTGATAGTATTATTTTTTGCCATTAATTTTGCTTCAAATTTGATCAAAATCGGTCCAGTGGTTGCTGAGATATGGATTCTCTTTAATGTTCCATTTTGACACTGTTATTGGCTTACATCAATCAAAAATATTCGTCATAAAAAAACTAAATTGGTTAATATTAGTGATACAGATCTGAAATTTTGTACATATACTGATATTGATATGCCGATTCCAAATCCTTTTACAGAATTCAATTATCTCTTATGGTTTGGGAGCTACATGGACTTGAAGTTTAATGCATTTTCTTTATATAATTCATTGTCATAATTCATATTTTTGAATTGACAAATATTAATTTAATATATGGAATGTCTTTATAAATGTTCATATTATTTTCTAACAATAATTTTGGTTATAATCTTTTATAAAAGCCTATATAAAATATTTGTCTATGTTGTGCATACTCTGTTATTAATTAAGGTACAAAGTGCAACTGCCTTACATAAAACATTTGTTATAAAATGATAATAAAGATTAATTGGTAGTTTTTTAATTTTTGTACATATAGCATTTAAGATATGCCAATTAAAAATATTTTTACAAAATTCAACTATGTTTTACAGTTATTAACAACTAATTGAAAGTAGATAATGATATCAGAGTGGCCAATTTTTTTATCTTATTTAAAAATTAAGAAAAGAAAAATAATACTAAACCTTTATTAATATTTACAAAAAGACACATAGTTCTTTTTCAAAATTTTCATTGATGTACTCTTTCCTCCACAATTTAATGATATAGAACTTTGTATTAACTAATTTTGGGATGCCAATTTTAAATCTTACCATTACACAGATTTCAATTATGTTGTTTAGTTTTTAAGTTACTCTGCTTCAAAGTTTAATACATTTCCTTTATATAAATCCCTAAAAGAATTGATATTTTTCAAGTGGGATTTATTTGAATGAGGTTTTGCTCACATTTTCATTGCTTACAATTTGTTTTAATAATTTTTTTCCTTCAAATTTAATCTGACTCTTAAGAAAAACATAATAAGCAAAAGAATCAGCAAGCAGAGAATGCAGATCAAGATGTTGATCAAGAAGATGAAGAAGAAGCTATGTATCTTGAAGAAGAAATAGATGTTATTGCCAGTTAAAGAAGTATTATACACTTTTGATGTTATAAATATTTTTATTGTTATGATATAGTTGTGTTCAAAAGAATTCAACAAATTGTACTTAATTGGCAGATTGAGATCAGAGTGATTGTTTTTATTTGCAAGAAGTATCATAAGCAACTGGGATTTATAACTGTTGATTTATTTAAAAAAAATTAGAAAGAAATAGCAAAAAATGTATTAAAATGTATTTGTTTTTCCTTTGTATGTTTTTAATTTTAGTTTAAAGACATTTCTTTTTTTCTAATTTTTATATAGCTTCTTCTTAAATAAAACATTTTTTAAACAAAAAATATTAAAACTTTCTTTCAATTAACTTTTACAATTTTGATTCATTTTAATTGATATAGTCTCATTCTGTCATTAATTTTACTTCAAATTTCATCAAAAATCGGCCAGGTAGTTGCTGAGATATGGATTCTTATAAATGTTCTATTTTAACACTGTTATTGGCTTACATCAATCAAAAATATTCGTCATAAAAAAATCAAATTTGTTAATATTTAAGTTAGAGCTTTCAAATTTGATGCATATACTAATATCACTACGCCGATCTCAAATCTTTTTACAGAATTCAGTTATCTCTTACAGTTCCAGAGTTATGGCACCATCAAATTATGCTTGTTATTTCTTACATATTGGTCTATAGGAAATATTCATAATGGCTGGACTAATTCTGTTGTTAATTAAGTTACATGTTTGTAATTCTGTATTTAGAATAGTATGATAATGCCAATCATAAAAACACAATTCTTTTAAATATATATAATATAAAATAAAAAAAATTGATGTATATAGCTTACATTTAAATATTCAGTTATAGTCCTTTTTCTTACCATCAAGAAGTTGAAGAATAAAATATTCCTAAACCTATAAATGTACAGAAAATATATATTGTTTTATTTTGATTGAAGAGCATTTAGATTAGTATTCCAATTTGAATTTTTTTTACAAAATTTAACAATCTATTATGTTTTTCAGCAAGGGTCAGTTAATGTCATCTACATTTTCCTTATAAAGTTAGAGTTATATACAGTATATTCTATTTGAATTCAATTATCTTTTGTAGTTTTTGAGCTACAGTGCTTCAAACTTTAATATATTTCCCTTTTATAATTCACTAAAAAAGTTGATATTTTTCAAGTGGGATTTATTTAAATAAGGTTATGATCACGTTTTATTTCTTATTATTTCTTCTAAAAAGTTTTTTCCTTAAAGTTTAATCTTGCATTACAACTCAGTGAAAATTTTTCATTATAGAGCTGTAAAGTTTTTTTTACATAAAACAAAAGTTAGCTAATACAATATTAATGTATTGAATAGGTTTTATATGTTACTTTCCTCTTTCTCAAATATATATATATAATTGATTTCATTAAACATTGGAGAGATATATAAAGAATACTTTTATCAATTTAACCACAGCAAACCAAATGCTACAATTCAAGATTCCTTTTAAAAGTATATAAAAATATTCAAAAGAATGATTTCCATCAGAACCAATAGAAAAAGTTTTGGAAGAAGAGGTCTATAAGAAAAGGATTAAGACAATAAGAAAAATAAACATGGTAAACAAGAAAACAAGAAAAAGGAACAGGAGAAACAGAAGGAAAACAAGAAGAGAAACAAACTCACCAAAAGGATGAGCAAGCAGAAGAGGCAGAGATGAAGAAAGTGTTATTTATTTTGAAGAAATAGATATTAAAAAAAATGATAAAAATATATATTAACCAAGAAATTTGATTCAAACATTTGATAAAAAATTGTTAAACTGAGAAGAATTGATCACTCTTACAAATAACTTTGTTTTTGGCTAAAATTCATAAAAAAATATTAATTATAGTAAAGAATGAAAAGTAATTATTATAAATTTAATACCAACAGCAAGACAGAATTGTAAAGTTATATTATATTATATATTTATTTAAATTTCAATTTTGCCTTAAACTTTAATATATTTTCTTTATACAATTCATCACATTTCTATTAATATTTTTGGAATAAGAAATATTTATGTATTATGCAGAACATCCCTCTAATTGTTATTATTTTTTCCTGACAATAATTTTGGTTCAAATTTGATCAAAATCGGCCCAGTAGTTGCTGAGATATGGATTATAAGAAACATTATATATCAACTCTATTAAAAGCTTATATAAACAAAAATATTCGACGTTCAAAAAAACTAAATTTGTTAATATAAAAGTCAGAGCTCTGAAATTTGTACATATACTAATATTGATATACCGATTATAAATCTTTTTACAGAATTCAATTATCTTTATAGTTTGGGAGCTACATTACGTTAAAGTTTGTATTGAAGACTTTTTTTTAAAAAAAAAAAAAAAAAATTTTTCATCTTGAGTGATGTCTTAAAAAAAAAAGAACGGCGGTGGTGTCTGTTAATTAGTTTCAATATTACGAACTCAATATTATTTGGTCAGTCTGCCTACACCCCTACACATCAAAATGTAAGTAAAATTGTTAAATTACCCTGATTAATATCTGTTTTTGTAATTAATTTTTGTTGTATTTTATCTATTAAAATATGTAGAATGTTATCTGTTGCTTTTTAATTATTTTATTCAATTATGTACTTTGTTGTATTGTAATTGTAGGAATTTCTGGTTCGTCACAACTGTAATCGTCCTTTCCAATCATTTACCAACTTGCCAAAGTACTGGTCCAAATAGAACCTTTAAAGTTCGTCCACAAATAGTCTAACAAAGGCAATTTCGGTAGAAATTGATTAACAAAACACCAGTATTTCGTCCAAAGAATATGTATTGAGTAAAATGAGCTTCTAGTTCTAAACAAGCTAGTTTAAACAACTAGCTGACGGTTAGAAAACTGAACTATCAACTGTTAATTTCGTAGGGTTTATATACTCTTTTAAGGGTTGATAGTTCACAAATTTCAATGTTCACAAAAACAAAAGTAACATTTGAAGACAAAGAAAAGTTCTAAATATGGTCATGTTTTTATTGTTTTCCTCTTCTAAATAATAGTTGAATTTCGAAGGTTGGAGAGTTGCATAAGATGTAACAATTTTAGTAGGACAAGTCCAACAATCAAGAAAACATGTAGATTGTATATTTGACCGTTTTTATATTCTACCTTAATAATGATATTCAATTGATTGAGTTAGTAAATTTAGCATCAGCATATAGAGGAAGTATATCTGATTAATGCATGTTAAAAGAACAGTATTGTGTATACAAATGTTGAATAGTGAATATAATCTAAACTTAGAATTTAAGCATAATTGATAATTAATTGAACTAGTTTTAGTTCGAAACATAAATTTATGGATTAATAAATTGTAATATTAATGCTAGGTTGCAAATAGCAAATATTCTTTATATAATTCAATAGGTTTT